CATACATACATACATACATACATACATACATACATACATACATACATACATACATACATACATATATATATCTATCCATCCATCTATCCATCCATCCATCCATCCATCCTCTATCCATCTATCTATATATCCATCCATCCATCCATCCATCTATCTGCATGTGTAATTCAGCACAGACTAGTCAAATTTAATGTAGACAATTTTTAGTAATAAGTCTGTGAATTAATAAAAAATGTCTTTTTTTTACAAGAGAAAACAGCCTCAACAGTTTTTGTAAGTCAACTCCATATGAAAAGCATAATTTTAGACAGAAATGTATAATTATGAAACAGTCAGTTAGATTAAAGGAAACAAATTAATAATTATGACAAACAAGAAACTGATTTAGGCGAAAATGAATTGTCTTCATAATTTGCCTGCGTTTTTCAATAATTTAACAAAATGTATGGCTCTGGAACTGGAGCATTTTAGCAACTAAAGTTATCCACAGCAGATTACTATTTCTAAAATATATCCCCAGGCTAATTCATTAGCTTTATGTAAAAAAATTAAAAAAATTAAAAATGGCGCAAACTTGGCTCCAGGACTGCTTTTATTCTGAAAGTCTGATCGCGGGAGCGGAAATGGTGCTTGAGTAGTTGCTTGGCAACAAAATGTCGCTCAGCCTCAGTCACTGTTTTCTCCGTTGCTACCTTCGCTTCGCTGGCGACACCACCGAGAAACCAGCGGAAAAAATAAGCCATAGTGATTCGGAGAAAGAGGAAGGAAAAAGTTAACTTCTTTTTTTACAAATGTAGAAAGTGCGTTTCGCCAACGCGTGTTTATTTTAGCGGATAAATGTAGTTGTAGCCCCGGGAGCCGTAAAAAGTTTCACCAAACCGGGAGGAGGGGACGAGCATGTGGCACTTTTTAATCCAGACAACTCTGCAGCTGGCGAGAGCCACAGACTCGCTGCCTGTCATCTGTGAACAAAGCGGATCAAATTCTGCCGATTAGTTATCTGGAAAATGGAGGACGGAAAGAATCAAATTAAACTTTTCAAACCGAGAGGTAACACTTTAAAATCTTTAATCATTCCGGTGTCGACTTTCTCCTTCAGGGGTCGGTTTCTGTGGTTCAAGTCTAGGCGGCTCCTAAACCAGCAGCAATTAAAATACCTCATGAGATTTATGTGCAAAAGTCTTCCTCTAATTTCTGCTTCAAAAGAGGCAAGACGTTTTACTGCAAACTATTAAATCAAATGTAAGAAAAGTTATCCTGAGCGCTTCCGTTTAAATTCAGTTCCAGATGCAGCATCCAGGGACAAAAACTTGGAAAGATTGCTCTTTAAAAACTCCGATTCTAATTAAGTATGTTCAGTTTTTATTAACAAAGCTGTTAGAAAGCCCACAGTTGTTTATTTGGCTTGTTTACCGTTATGGCTTCTTTCTGAATTCAATCGTTCCTGCGCTCTTGAATGCACCGTGGCTGTTCCAACGCTAGCGAACGCACCAGTTGGTTTTTTTCTCTCTCTTGACATGGATGGAGCCTTGTTGTTCAAGCTTATTTGTGCTTTACTGCTGTGTGTAACTACCAGAAGAAACACAGCAAACAAATCATCCTAAACTGGATATCTGTCTCCGTGTTCTTTAATGGGAAGACTAGTGGCCCGACAACTTCATACCTTGCTGCTCTAAAGCGGTTAATGTCCCGGAGAACACCGAACCTCTACTTTTTAGCAGCTACCATCATTTTCACACCCATCAGGCATTTACAGTGGCTCCACTGCGAGTCAACAAAGACTTATTGTAATAATGATTGATATCTGCATATAGCTTGTTCAAAGTGAAAACCAGTTTTCACGCAAGTGGTGGGGAAGGGGCTGGGTCAGTGAGGGAGAGCGAAGGGGCCGCGTGAAGTCACAGACTGGGAGAACAGGAAGATTTATTCTAATTTTATATTGCAGGAACAAGATGGTTAAGGGAAATGTATTGAAGCAAAAGTACACACTTATTTGAGAAAGTGAAAGTCGCTAGAAATGTCAATAACGAAGATACGTCAAAATTCTACTTAAGTACAGTAACAAAGTATTTCTACTTTGTAACATTACAACACTGGAAATGCGAGTACTCACTCATTGTAAGCAAATTATTTTTTTCGTATACTCATAAATGAGCGTAAACAAGAAACAAAACGTCACAACTATAACAAAATGTGCTTAATTTTTTAATTTAAGGGCCCATTAATCATCAATGAGGAACAAATTGTGATTTTTTTTTACTTTTATATTTTTTATAACCAGGGAGTGGTGGCGCAGAGGTTACAGAAGGGTGGGCCTCCGATTGGAAGATCGTTGGTTCAACTCCCAGTAGACATCAAAATGTGGGTGGGATAGGTGAAGCACCCCCACCTGCTTCCACCCTCAGTTGCCCCACTCTGGGCCCTTGAGCAAGGGGGCCTGCTCAAGGGCCCTAGATGGCAGCTCTCTGCTCCACGCAGAGGGCTGTGGTAGCTCGGTGGTCTGTCAAGAACATCTGGCGTAAAAATAATTGACAAGTGTTCGTGCGACTCAGATCGCTGTGGCCCTGACGAAGGAGCAGCCGGAAGAAAAATAAAAATAATTATTATAACCAGTCTTCATGAAATTACAACGAGTACCTAAAAAAACACCAATAAAAAGTAACAGTTCTTGAAAAGACTTAACTTTTCCCCTTCAGTGATTTCTGGTTCAACACCGGCCTGTACATGATTTCCATTAAAAGGGCCACGGTCTTCTTGTAATTCTGAGGTTGTGGGTTCAAGCCCAGGTTGCATCAAAAACGGCATTTGGTGTAAAATAATTTCCAAACTTTTCATGCGAGTCCACTCGCTGTGGTGACCCCTGGAGAAGGAGCAGCCAAAAGAAACTCACTATATTTTCATAAAGACGAGTTCTTCAGGCACAAAGAGACTCCTAAAACTGATGAACCAGTATTTAACTAAAACCAGTTTTAATTCTTAGTTTTTTTTACCAGAAGCTTGACACAAAGCCAATTTGTTCATATGATTTTAGTTGCACCAAATAATGAAAACAGTAATAATAATAGTAACTTTACCTTGCTGGAAATGTTTTCTATGAACAATTATTTTAAATCTACTAACTTTACAGTAAAGATGAGTTCTACTTTACATTTACTCAGTTTCCAAATCCCATCCTGCACTTTAACAACGATCAAATCTGAACTTTGACCTTAGTTCTTTTTTTTTTTACTAATTTTTGGCAGATTTAAGTTCAAGCCAGCACTTAAACATTCCAACTGTAGATAACTAATCTACAAATGCTCTGATAAAACTCAGAGTTCATAATTAAATGCATCGTAAACTTGCCACACCTGAGCAGGTAGATCAGCTACAGGTGTGGGAGCCTCTGCAGTTCGGGCCTCTTTATAAGCCTTTTGTTACCGTATTCTCTGTCAAGGCTTGCCATATTTACGTTGGTCTTGCTGTAAACAATAAAAGTCATCCCAGCTGCTGTTCGTTACGGCTTCATGACCTTTCAGCTGAGGTCGTCTTGACGTGCCAAACTTCATTAGTCGTTTTGTTGATTCGGCCGAAAGCAGCGGAGACGATGCCGGCCGACGTTCACCCATAACACAAACGTCATTTGTTGCAGCATATGCCAGCCGGGTTATTGGAAAAGTATGATTTGGCTCCGATTTTTGTTTTGGAAGACAAAGCCTTTTTTTCCCCCGTCAAGACTCGCATCTATTTTAGCACCAACAGATGCGGGAATTTGTTTTAATCCCGAGATAAAATGTTGACATTTATTTGGACCGTTTTGCAATTTGATAATTTAGTAAAAAACTTTCCAAACGTGGCGCGACAACAGTGATTTAAATGACTAAAATTTTATTAATGCGTCCACAACTCTAGACTTGAACTGTTACGGATTAAATAATGGTCCAAAACATGCAATATGTACCCCTCATCGCCACACGAGTGATTACTGTATTTTTATTTTTTCCCCACTGCGTGAAAATCTAAAAGGTGAGCGAGAACTGTAAATTAGTAACTTAATTAGTAATCGTCTGTAGTCTCTCTACTTCAACAGAATGTATTAAAACTTTAAGTTGAGACGATGTCCAACATGACTGTGTTGCAAAGACGTCCAGTGAAAAAGCATTTTGTAGTTGTTTTTTTAAAAATTCACGCGACAAATCAAAAACCCTTTCAATCCACAACAGCTCGTTGTCTTACAGCCGACAGTTCAACATATCAACTTCAAGAAATAAAAAGCCCAGTTTACTCTAAATGTGCAGACAATAATATAAACTGAGCTAAGAGGTGTGGGGAGCATGCTCGTTTATGCAGTTAGTTCCTTAAACAGTTACGGTGCAACTTTTGGTTTAATTGGCTTAAATCCAACATATAACTTCGCGAACGCCAGTGCATCTTAATGTCTGTTCCTCTGTGAGCAATAGGTCATAAAGAATGAACATCAAGTTTTCCCATTTAATAAAATAGATTTGCAAGCAAAATACGTTGACATTTTTTCCCATCATTCGGTTTCCCAGCCAATTTTAATAAACAAGTCAAGCAAACTGTTTTGTTGTAACTGTACCAATAACATTAATCGCTAATCCATCCAGCCTCGCTTTAAAAATTCTTTGTAAATTATTACAGCTGCAGAAAACTAAACAGTTTCATGACTACTATTTTTCTTTATTGGTTGTACAGTCATACATCCGTCCTCGTCTGCCACACACGTATTAAAAGGTCGTTCAAGCTGCTACTTCGCCAACGGTAGAAAAGGAATAGAACTCAAAGTGGAATGACTACACGTGAGAGCAGAACCTTATTTTTCTTTCCTTGCACTCATCTGAGTTTGGTACATACACATCTACAGGTTTACAGTAGCAGGAAAAGAGCAGGAGATAAGCACTCTATTAAGCTTTTAAAAACTAGTATATGATTTAAAAAATACTAACCACAGAAGAAAAAAAAATCAAGATATCTCATAGTTCTTACTTTTGAAGTGGCTGTTATTAGTGGCATCTTTCTCATACAAATACTTTAATTTTAGCTTTACAACTGTTTCCTTTTTTTAATAAACACACTTGCAAGGAAGTAGTTTCCAGCACACATGAAGACAAGCAGATGCAGTCCCATCAACAACAACTTGCTGGGATTGGTTTGCAGCTACTAAAACAAACCAAGATTAGGATCCGAATCTTTTCCCACTGACGTGCTGAAACGTAGTTGGGGTCCAACTATTGATGGAACAACATGATTGTTTTCTTCAAAAATCACTGAAACAAGACACTGCCATAAAAACAGCCACTCCAAACTGTATTAAAATGTTTTTTTTTATTTGGTTTGATAAATCCTTACTAATTTTTACCCCACTTTATCCAAATGTTTATCAATACATGATTAAAGTTTAAATTACAACTGTGATGTTTTGTTTCTGTGCATGGTGCAAGTGTTTATCCTAAATAACAAGAATTAAAATAAAATCAAGGGTCTGGGTGTTTTTACAGATTCCACCTTCACGCCCATCATCGGTCCATCATGCTCAGGATCATCTCGGGGGTCAGGTCTCCGTTGGGAGGGGCCTCAGACAACTGCACCTCCTGTGCTGCGTCTTCTTCCTGAGCCAGCTCCTCCATCTGAATGGTCGACTTGACGCCGCCGACTATCACTTCCTCTGCCTCTGCTGCGCCGCTGATGTCGTCTTGTTCAGCGCCAACCTCCTTCTTCACTATGATGTCATCGACCTCTCCGGTGACCTCGTCCTCCACGCGGATGATGGCAGCCGCTGAAAGTGAGTTCAGGTCAGACTTAAATGCAAAAACTGTTCTCCATTCAGCCAGACCGGTCTTCTATTGTTACAACAGTAATGTTCCGCTGAAAATAATGACCTTTTAGAAACTTACGTTCAGGCCTATTCTTTGGGGGTCGCCCACGTTTCCTCTTGACCGGGGGCTCCACTGGTGCTGGAATAGGAACAACTGGAGCTTCCTGCTCCACCTCGATTTCAGCTAATATTTCATCTTCCTCCTCGATATCATCCAGTTCTTCCTCTGCACAACAGGACGCACGCAATCAGCGCAAGAATAAGAAAAAAATAAAATACTGTTGCCCTTTTCTGCATTTCAAATCTTAAAAAACAAGAAGAAGAAAAATAAAATCAAAGAATCTTCATGACTAATGAGAGAAAAGGTTAAGATTTTACGCTATGACCTAAAGTTAGTTTTCAAAAGCATGATTTAACCTGCTAAAATCTTTGTCACTTATTGCACGTTTACCTTTAATGTAACTACAAACAATATACAGGACGGTCCTGTAAGCTTCAGCAACTTAAAAGAGTGGCAGTACAGGGTGTGTTGAGCAACACATCATGACGACATAAACTAAAATGTTTTATTTTTATCTAAAACGTGGAAGTCAACTCGCACAGGAAGACTGAACGCATCTGCCTCGTTATCGTTTAGATTTTCCACGACACGTTAAGCAAAGAAACGTGCCTTTTTGTACACAATTGTGTCATGCAACATCTTTTTAATATCAACTGCATTACTTATAATTGTCATAGCTACAAAAAAAATGAAATGTATATAGAAAAATATAAAAATAAAAAGGATTGTTTTGCCACCGATTTTAAGAATTTGTTAAAATAAAAATTGCAAATATGACTAGCACCTTTCAACCAACTTAGCCAAAAGAATTCACAGAAAAAAATAAAAACTGAAGGGTAAAGACTCCTGCGGTCAATTCCAAGTTTCTTCAACAATTACACCAGATGTGTGCACAACAGTTCATATGTAAAATACCAGTATTGTCCTCATCGTCGTCGTCATCATCCTCCCTCCTGGACTGCATCTTCCTCTTCCTGCCACGGCGGCCTTTCTTGGGAGTAGGTATTCCATTTTCATCTCCAGCAGCTTCACCCATGCAGTTCTCAGCGTGACGCAGCATTGTGTTCTTTGGAGGAAACACAAAACAGTCACACCTCACTAATTTTGAGTAAAAAAAAACTTGCCACAGCGAGTACAGCGAGTCCTCGGTGCGTCCTACCCGGCGGGTGAACGTCTTGCTACACTTGTTGCAGACGAAAGCAGTGGGGACAAAGTTGGGATCATGATAGCGCTTGAAGTGCATGTCCAGGAGCTGTTTCTGACGGAAAGTCTTGTCACACTGGCTACAGGCAAACGGCTTCTCCCCTGTGTGAGTACGCTTGTGCATTATCATGTGGCGCTCCTGCAGGGTGACAAAAGATTCGCTGGTTAACCAACGAGACATGAAGTAACAGAAGACACGTTTCCTGCAACACAAACCTGTCTGCAGCAGTAATCACACTGGTCACACTTGAAGCGCTTCTCATTCTTGTGAGTCTTCTGATGCTGGATGAGAGCATAGCGCTCATGAAACACAGCATCACAGTAACGACATTTCTTGCCCGTCTCAATAAACGAATGCTGCTTCCTCAAGTGAACGCCTACGAGAGACAAAAACAAGTATAATCAATGCCAAGCTGAAAACAAACTAGTCTAAAACGAGTCTAACTACATTTATTTGTATGTTTTTAGGACTTATCTACTAAAATTTACTACATAATTTTAATAATCTTTGTTTTTCATCTGAATATAATTCTAAACATGCTGACTTTAACTGTTCAGAAACAGTTATGCACAACTTTACCAAGGTCACTCTTGCGTGCGATGACAGTATCACAGTGTGGGCAGTGGAACTTGGCCACATTCTCTGTGTGTTTCTGCAGAATGTGCATCTTCATGGTGCCGCTCTGAGTGAAACGAGCATGGCAGATGTAGCACTCGTACGGCTTCTCACCTGTCAAGCAGAAAGTGGGAAGCCTGTGAGCAAGGCACTCCTCTCAGGCAGAACAGAAACAAAAGACTTGGTGTAATACCCGAATGCGTTCTCATGTGTCTCTTCAGCTTGTAGGTGTCTCTGCTGGCATAGCTGCACAGGCTGCACTGGAAGGGTCGCTCTCCTGTATGAGAGCGAATGTGCCTTTTCAACTTGCTCACCTGAGAAAAGCAAAACAAACAGAATATAAACTTGTGTCATATTTAGGGAAAAGAAAATTACAAATTAAGATACTCAAGTAACAAAAACACAAAGTACCTCCACACTGGAATAGTCGCACATCGAGCACTTGAATGGCTTCTCATGTGTGTGTTTGTAACGGCGATGGCGCACCAACTCACCGCTGGTCACAAATGCCATGTCACAATCTGTGCATTTATGAGGCCGAGTGCCTAAAAAAGGATTGAAACAGTGCACATAAAAATAGGGTGAGGAGACATGCTTGTTTGACACATAATGAAGGACAGAACCACACAAATATCACATGAATCCAACAATTTGTTCCAAATTAAATCCCACGGCTCAAATTATTTGCATCAGTTGAATATTTTAATCTCTGTTTTACCTGTGTGTGTATTGAGATGGTTTCTCAGCAGTGTGACTGTCCTGAAGGCTCTTCCACACAAGTGACACTTGTGTGGTCTCTCATCTGTGTGGCTCTTCATGTGACGGTCCAGATTAGAGCGTCTTGGACAGGTGTAGCTACAGAGCTCACACTGAAAGGTCTTCTTCACACCTGGAACACAAAACAAAAACATTAAGTTGGTCTTACGCGTGCTTCCTCTTTACCAGATTTTCTTGATTGTAAAAGTCAAATCACAGTTGAAATCCAACCTTTTTTCTTGATCTTTGTGGGCTTTGGAGGCTTCATGTTGCCCACAACCTTCTCTGCATTCACCTCTGACAGCAGCCCCTCCTGCTGCTCTTCCTCAAAGTCATACACCGACACATCCATGTCACGATCACCATCTGCGTAGCGAAGGCGACTCTTTTTCCCTTTCTTCCCCTTGCGGACAGAGGCAATCGGCTGGTACTCCGGGTCCTTTGACCATTCTGGGTCATCTTGCTGAGGGACAGTGGATTCCACTTCCACAGTCTCCTCATCCTCCTCTTCTTCCTCCTCCTCCCTTGTTCCTTGGAGCTCCTCCTGCTCCACAGTCTCCACTTCACCATTGGCACCCACTTTTACAACCTATAAAAAACAATATTGCTTTGATGAAAAAACTCTGGAAGAAAATCTGTTTGTATAGAATGTATACTTGAGGGCCCCAATAGAAATTATTGTTTCACAAGTACTGAATCGTTCTCACCTGGAAGCCTTCAGGCAAAGGAAGTGTGTGACAAATAACTGGTTCTACATCCTTGTTAGCTGTTGTTGCTTCGACATAAGTGGCCTGGAGACCCTCCACAGTTGCTGCAGTCACGGGTACCTGAACCAGCTGAAGCTGACCAAGACCCAATGCAGCACCTGCTTGTTCTTCCATATTCACCACCTACAAACAATTGATCCTAAGTTATATTCTCATCAAAACACAAGTCCAGTTGCTGACAACCACCCTCACCTGCAGTGTGATGATCTGACCATCGTCTCCACCAGTAACGGTTACTGTGCCGCCTCCCTCCAAAACCTCTGTCTTCATTTGCAGCAGAGTTGGATCAAGAGCATCCATCACCATCATATCCATGTTCCCGGCCACTTCATCCTGCGCCGCTTGTATCAAAGCTTCTCCATCTTCTGGCAGAACCTTCCCCTCAGCAGCCATGGCAGCAGCTTGAGCTGCATCTATGGTAATAACCTCGCCCTCCATGGCAATGGGCTTACCAACACCCTGAGTAGAAAATACAAACATATGGTTAAGTTACGTAGGCATCGAGTTGCACTTTTTCATATGCAATACAGAAACTTGGTGTTAAAATAACAAAAACTTTCCATTATTTCTTATGTAATATCTTGTATAGACTGAAACAGATTAAAATAGTTTCACTAAATTAAGACATGTCTACACAAGGTTTAGGAGGGGGGGAAACAGTACTGTTAATATCCTGATTCATGCTCAGTAATCCAGGTAGAAAAATCCAACAAAGTTAAGTCAGGTCCTCTGGATGGTTTCTTATTGTTGAAACGTTTCGTCTTTCATCCAAAACACTTCATCAGTCCGAGGAGCCACAACAAACTCATGCTTTTATATAGCCCCTTCATACAGTTGCTCAACCAGTTTGATGGCACTCAGATGGTTTCTGGAGTCTGCCCTCTCCCCCGCCAACTCGTTCCAGGCAGTCATGGCCTGTTAGCCATGTACTGTTAATATTTTTCCCTTTTGAGTATTGGTACTCTGGTATTAGGGCTGCGCAATATTAGAAAACCTTGCGATGTGTGATAGTGTTGCTTAAAATTGTTATGACAATATAAACGTTGTGAAATAGCCACATTTTCTTGCGTTCTACTCACCATCGCTTAAATCAGGTATGAGTATCAAGTTCAGAGAAAGTTAACCCAATACATATTTACATACAATGATTAATATTTGAAATATATCAGCCTGAGTAATGCAGTCTTTACTGATGATAAATTAGCAATATATCATGCAACCCTAACCCATAACATTTTAATTAACAGGTATGGGTAAAAACGCCACAACACAGACGCAGACGGATCAACACAAATCTGTCTTGGCCATCCACTAAATATGTATACACATGTTTGATTATGTATAATACTAATAATAATGCCAGTGTAAATAAGGGTTGAATGAATGATTATATTATGCACCCTGTAGAAGCATAATAAATGCAACATTTACTTGTTGCCGTGAATAGAAAGCCTAATATAACGACCTGTCCCATGCAGACATCATGTGTCAACATTAACTTGTACCGCGCCAAACTGTTGAAGATCATGGAGGACAACCCGACTTCAGACCGTGTAAAATACCTCCATAGATAGCCGAGGTTTCGGTGAGAAGAGTAAAATGAAGTCTGTGCAAAGTTTAAAACGAGTTGTGGGGTACAACAAGAGTTAGTTCGTCGTTTATTGTGTCAATAACAGCGACTCAAACGTCGAACAGCCCGGAGTTAGCTCACCGTCTTCCTGCGTGATAAGACATTGATGTTTGTCACTCGGTCGATCCTTCACAGTCACTCGTTCGTTTGTTGCAAACGTTCATTTTTAATCTGCTTTGATTCTAACCGGGGCGATCGACTAAAAAACAGACGCCGTGGTCTGAAGAACCAACTTAACATTGTTTTTGTGAAGTGGTGAAGCGCGACTCCGTCTGAAAACAGGAAACAAAGGGCACGATAAGATGGACGTCAGGGCCTAAACAAACTTAAAACAGAAATACCAATAAATTTAACCATTCCCTGGAAAAGACGAAATAATACGGTCTAAAAAGCTTTAAAATGCTCGGCTGATGCTGGGACTTGCAGTTTATAGTCGCATTTAGTGTATTTTGGATAACGATAGAGGGAGACAAACACCCCCCGCCAGTCGCCTGAACGGTGAGCCCTACCGTGACACCTAGAGGCCGGCGACGGCTCCTACAAAAACCTCCCCTTGTTTGGAAACATAACGAAGGGTGGACCTACTCTCGGTTGGTTCTTCCTCCGTTATATTCACTCGGAACCTCAGTCCCGGCGGTTGATCCTTTCAGCCTTGATGCGGACGGTCGTGTGTGCTCTGCGCAGAGCTATTAATTTTCTCCCGCTTTGGATGAGCAGGCCTAACACAAAATGGCGGCTCGTTAGCGCTAAGGCGGCTGCGCGCACGCATCGCCCAGGGGAAGTAAAGGGGCGTGGCCAATCCACAGCTGTGGGTGATGAGCGCGAGATTTGAAATTGAGCGCGGCCGTGACAACCCGGATCCCAATGATTGACAAAACAAATATATCGATCAGCTTTCTGACTAAAAGTTTTGATAATTCTCAAACCATAAACATGCAGTCGCTCTTCAATCTAGATTATGTCACACGAGATTAAAACTGTTTAAAAAAAAATCAGCCACGAGAGGGCAGCATGACCACTGTGATTTAGTGGTGGGAATTGCAGTTCCTTTCTGGGATTCAAATTATTTGATTCAGTTCACGAGATCTGGCTAGTTGGACTTCAAAACTGTTTTTTGAGTTCGAAGGCTCTTTTACCTCCAGGTGTTAACATAAAAGCCACGTTTTTATATTTGATCATTATATGTGAATAAATTTGTCAATGTGAAATGCACATTTTAACGTGTTCAGATGAGTTAGCACATTGAATCAGCTCGGTCACGACTGACCCACCATCAGGCCTTAAACACGTATCAAGATTGATCAGGTGATCTGGAAAAGGATTCAGATGAGAAATATCTTGGAGAGAAATGAAAAAGGCGACTGCTGCTCCCTTCCTCAAGGGTTGCCACAGCAAACTAACTCGCAGAAGCCTTGGCAATTATTTTTATTCCAGATGCCCTTAGAGCACCGAGCTACCACAGCCCTCTGTGTGGAGCAGGGGGCTGCCATCTGGGGGAGCAGATGGTGTGGATGTTTCCACCTTTTCCACCCACGTTTTGATGTTGTTGGTCCAGGGAGTCGAGCCAGCGACCTTCCGATTACATGCCCACCTTCTATAGCCTCTGCACCACCACTCCCCCTCCACTTAGAAACTAAAAATAATGAAATGAATAGAAATAAACTAAGTGTTTGTTCAGGTATGGCAAGGAAACTGGGTTGCAAGGGGTATTATTAATTTGGAAAATGCTTGTAAAATCTCTACATTTTTAATAAATACACCTAGCATGATTTAAAGCACTTCATGTAGGGTACTTGTGAAGGTTAAAATGCAGTAATCTCAATGATGTGTTCTACTCACGAACTTTTATTTCTTCACATCAATAGAAACAATCATTTAGCACCATTTTGTTTTCTTGTCATTAATTAAGTCACTTATTTTATTACAAAGACAACAGCTTGGATAATTATTTTCAGATGCTATTGGAACAGATATTTATCCTGATGCATGCTCAGATTGGCTCAGATACATATAAAGATTTATAAATCAAGAACTCTTGCCTAATTAATGAAGTAATGTTTTTTTTACATTTAAAATGTAAAAAAAAATCTGTTCACAATTCATTCAACCTTTATTTCTACAGGTAAATCCCATTGAGCCTCGAGGACTCATTTACAAGAGAGACCTGATTTCAACAAAGAATGATGACAACAATGGACAACAATAAACAGTTATAAAAAGTCATACTACAGTTTTTGTTTTTTGTTTTTATTATATGTATTATTATATATATACAATGTTGGAATGTCACATTTGTTTGGACACGTAGGTCATAAACCTTTTGTTACTGAGATAAAAAATTAGCTATTGAGACAAAAAAGTGCATTAAGATACAGATCTGGCTCAACTGACCATTTGTTAGTATTTTTTTGGTCTTTGAAAATTGTGAAGCCTCGTCCACTGCAATACACATTTGTCTTTCATAGAATTAGTCAAAATAATTCACCTAATAGTATTAAAACTAATTTAATCTTCACTGCATTTTTTATTTTTTTGGCTGCTACACGTTTTGTAGATTAATGTCAGAGACATAAATCTACATTAATGTCAGATACATTCATCTACAAAGTGAGTATATTAGCATTTTAGCTGAAAAGCTAAATATTCACAATTTTCCTTATTTATTACTGAGTCATTCATTCAGTCTCTTCAAGGTTGATGAAGGAAGACCAATTAAAATTAACAATGTACCGGTAAATATTTTCAAGTTTAATCTCTTCCCCATCATATTTTTAAAGTTTGATGAAGTGTTTAATTTCCAAACAAAACAATCATTTTGTTGAAATTTAGCTGAGCAGAAATATGAAGAAAAAAATTTAAATGCTTAAAGCACAAAATACCTCATATTTGCCCCTAGATACATTTTTTGTGTAAATATACGAACTTCATCCATCCATAATCTTTACTCATCCATCCATCCATTATCTTTACCCGCTTCTTCCATTTTGGGTCACGGGGCTCGCCGGTGCCCATGTCCAGCAATCACTGTGTGAGGGACGGGGTACACCCTGGACGGGTCTCCAGTCCATCACAGGGACACATAGAGACAAACAACCATTCTCTCTCTCACTCACACCTAGGGACAATTTAGAGTTACCAATCAGACTAACATGCATGTTTTTGGTCTGTGGGAGGAAACCGGAGCACCCAGAGAAAACCCACGCATGCACGGAAAGAACATGCAAACTCCACCCAGAAAGGCCCCTGGACCGGGATTTGAACCATTGACCTGCTCGGTGAGAGGCGGCAGCTCGACCAGTTGCACCACCGTGCTGCCCCATATACTAACTTACTTTTCAAAATGTCCTCTGATATCTTTAAGTGAAATTGCTCAGTGTTATAAATTGCAGTCTCATCTGTTTAATTATATTTAATCTTTAGGGATTACAGGCACAGACAAGGTCTAATTAAGATTGAACAGACATTAAGCTTCAGAAAACAATGTCACCTGTGATCCCGCTGGCCTCAAGGTTACAATAACCAGCAGTTTCTGAATTAGCTCATGTCATAGCCGTTCCTTGTGGGGGTTCAAAAGACGAAAACAAGTTATTTCTGAGTTGTGATGTTGCTCACGTGTTCCTGACGGATCTAGACAGTTTCAGGGATGTGACTTAGAAACAGTGCAATTGAATATCATGGCCTATAGTCTGAACATCAAATGTTCAGTCAGGCAAAGCAGTTTTCGTGAAACCTGAGACACACATCCTCCACGGATACAGGCGATGTACCGGTAATTAAAATGTGCAGAAATCGGTGCTTGTGGGTGCGTGTCATGATTTATGGTTTCTGAACGAGTCAAACAGCTCGTTACAACGTCCTACAACAATCCTCCCAGGACCACTTAGCACAGTTTCCTGTAGCACTTTGGAGACACTTGGTTTTGAAATTCACATGAACGGTGAACCGCTTCTGCACTTTTTCAGTGATGAAAGAAGTCAGTCTGTCTATTACAACAGCAGAGCATCTTAATCACTAATAAATAATTTATTTGTTACACAACCAGCAGAACGTGATGTCCATTCAGGTATTTCAAATAGAGGTGATAGTTAGTGAACACTTGATGTAAACGGAGGACGTTGGAGACGTTGTCCCTGCCTCTGTGCCTCTTCTTGTTTTATCACCATCTTTTCCTCTCAGAGAGGGAGGGGGGCCAGAGAAAGGCGAGGTCCTGTTGTCAGATCTGTCAGTCTGGCCGGCCCCTCCCACCTCTGTGGAGGCATTACATACTGCTGGTGCTCTTAGCAACGGTGCCTCGGCAACAGAGCCACGGCAACAGAGCTCCACGGCAACAGCGTGCCGTGTCTCCCCAATGGAGCTGCCATTGGGCGGACCAGCTCTCAGGCACTACACCCAGAGCAGACCGAGACCTCACCGACAAAAACTGAACTATCGTCCCAGCAGACCGCAGGTACTGTGCACGGGGTGCAGAGAGGTTCGGTGAAAATGGAGTGTGAGGGATAGGTGGTGTGTGAGGGGAGAAAAATGGATGGGAGAGGGAACAGAGGGGAGAGGCAGGGGGAAGGGAAGGATGGAAGGGGGGGTGCTGGAAGATGCCTGGGCCCCGCTTGAATTGGGAGTCCCTTTGTAGCGGTCAGTGGCTCTTTGAATGATCCACTCTGTTTTCTGTTTGGGTCAGCATAATGAGCAGGAGCGGTAGTTCAATTTAGATGTCTGCTCCAGGTCTCACTGAAAAAAAAAAAAAAAAGGTTGTAATCTTTAAATGTTTCAAAATGCATTCAGTGGGTGTTCTATTTCCCACAGAGCTGATCGTGTTGTCACAGATCTTAGATGATCAATCCCTCAGAGACAACATTGATGCAGTTCCCTGGACAGAATACCACGTAATGGTGACTTCTGCTAAATTTGTGTTCTGCAACCACCCTCTTGACTTTCGCTGCTTCTTGTGGGCGCAGATTTGGATCTGATCTGTGTAATGCAACTCTGCGTTGCTGCAATTTTCATATCACATTACCTGTTATTGGCTAAATGAGTTATCGTGCTCTCATTCTGCATGTAAAATCTAGTGATGCCTCTCCATCGTACGTTACTGAGCAACTGAGTCCCAGGAGGCCTGTTCCGTGGCATAAACGGATGAGCGAATCAAACCAAAATTCACCTATAGAGGCAGGAGAAACAATACTGCCAAAGTGTGTGGGTTTTCATTGTTACATAATGCAAAGTTACACATAATGTGAGTTGTTCTCTTTCATTAGTTTGTCTGATTGTAGGTGTCCATTTTCTCTGTGTTTCTGTGACAATTAGGAGACGATAATTGAAAGTGAAAATGAAGTCCTTGAGCTCATGGGGCGAGTGGATGAAGGAGTCGAGGAGTTCTTTACAAAGAAAGTGCTTCCCACTGAAGCACCGTGAGTATCACAGCTGCTTGGGTAAAATATTTAGATTGAAGGAGGACAACAGATTCTATGTTCACGGTTCTTTGTGCAGGAACAAGCAAGACGAGGAACCCATCACTCTGCACGAAGTGGCTCCAGCCAGCTCCATCCCTTGTCCACAACCGACAAGAACATTCAGGAGGAAGCTTGGTGATTTCTTTACGCTCAAGAAGAAGCGAGGTCTAAAATCAGAACCAAGCCAAGAGGGTCGACCCAAAAAAGCCTCCATCGCCGATCTAATTCGTCCCCTCAGAGAAGTCGCCAGGTCAGAGAAAGACAAGGATAAGGACCGAGTGAAAGAGCAAGACAAGGAAAATGAAAAGGAGAAAGCAAAAGCACATCCCAGTGCTGGTACTGGAGAGCCAGCTGTCCAGGAGTCACCTGTTACAGGTGAGGCGTCAATGAGGGGGGAGGCGGTGCCTCCTCGCCGAGCTCTCAGAGAGGGGAAATCCCAGTCCCTCATTCTGCTGTCTGGATCAGCAGCAGGAACCACCAACGCCAGGAACACTGCAAAGGTGAGGGTCCCTCCAGCCGAGATCGTGCACACTTTTATGTTACGAGAAAAGTCTTGAGCGTCACTCCTGTGCCGCTGTCAATTTCAGAAACCGTTTGAAGGCCAACATAGCTTTGAGCAGAAACTGCATCTAATGCTTCAGCGCATTGGAGTTTCTAAACCTCAGCCAGGAGAGACGCAGGTGTGTGCATGAGCACGTGTCAATTTATGCCCAAATAACGTGGAAACACTGAAGCTGGTCTTTAAGTATTCCTTCTATTCTTGTAGAATCAAGAGAAAGAGATGAAAAAGGCAGAATCTGAAGGTACGTGCCCTTGTTTTAATAAGATTAAAAGCTTTCTCAGTCCAGCTAAGTCCCAATAAAGCTAGATTAATCTTTAAAATGGAAGTTAAGGGGCTTAATTCTTCTTGTAAAATAAGGCTTTTGTATTTCAGGTACCATCATTGACAGTAAACCTGAACCACCTTCTACCTTCTCCAAACCTCGAACAATGTCTGCGTCAGCAGGTAAGACACATCGTCATTTATTGTTTCACATCTACCCTCTTTAAGCAGATCAACAACTCTTGTGTCAAATTTTCTCCTTTAGACACACGGCATCAAATTCGAGTCAGTGTGTCAGCACACGAGGCAGCTGGGAAACCTGCTCTGCTCCCAAAACCAGTCATCAAACCAGGTCCACCTCCCACAACATCTGGCCGCGCTACGCCTGAGAACGAGTTAGCACAGATACAGGAAGCCGAAACAGGCATGCCCACTAAACCCAGTCCAACCACGGCTCCTTCGGCTCCTACTGCTCCCAACCTGACTGCTACCACCACCTCTCCTGTACCGACAATCTCAGGCCCAGTCCCCGATGCAGCCAGCGTTACAATTTCTCCTTTAGGTACTGTAGACACAGAAATATGCACTGACTCAGTTAACCCTGCCGAAGCAGCTACAACACCCACTGATGGTGCAGTCGGTGACAGCAACGCTTCTGTCCCTAAAACTACTGACACTAACGGTGAACCACCCACCTCCATCTTTCTGACAAAGGTGGAGGCGCTTGAGCCCCCCACCGCCGTCTCAGTTCAGCCCGCCTCCTCTGAGTCCATCACCCCAACCTCAGAAACAATAGCTACTTCTTCTGTCACCACCCTGGAAACTGTTTCTAGCCCCGGCAAGCGAAGCCCAGTTTCCACAACGAATCGGTTGGTTACTTTGCCGGAGTCAAACGATGCGGTCACAGCCGATGCTGCTCCAGCTGCTGACGATGATGCAGGTTCTACCACAGCTTCTCCATCCTCCACCAGCACGTCTGATCCAGGCCCGCACGCTGCCCTCACAGGCACCAAAGCTGTTGAACCCCCTGAAGCCTCCAGTACCTGTGAAACACTGGTCCCTAAAACTACAAGTCATCCTTCTATCTCAAGTGATACACTTATAGCTACGGTTTCACATGAAGTCCCTGTTCCCACGTCCGTTGTCCCGACCGCCCTTCCTCCCACCACCTCCACTTCCTCTACATCAGTTGAAACCGTCGCCCCAACATCCAGTCATCACATGAGCTCAGTCTCTGCACCTTCAAACATTCAGACAGCTGTCCTTAGCTCCGACGAGGTTTCTGCTCCCTCCACTTCTTCCAGCGATACGAACCCAACGGACACCACTTCCACCGCCACCAGTTTGCACCACGCAGATACTACTTCCACCAGCAGTTCGGCGATCTCTGCTGCAATTAGCTCCTCAACAGTTTCAGATCCTGCCTCTAAAATGCCTCCTAATGGCAACGAACCAGGCGCAGCTCCTCATCTTCTGACCAGTCCGGCGTCCTCTAACGGTAGTCCATGCCAAGACAATGGTTTCCAGGTGTCTTCTGAAGAAGAAGCCAAGGTAGAAACAACAGAAAAGCCCACAAAGGAAGACACCGGTAAGTTTTTATTTCTCTAACTGTGTTCTATAATTCTGTACTTTTTCCACACTTATTTTGGATTTTTGACTCTCAGCAGAGGACGAGGAGCTCGAGATGATCGAGAAGAACAAGTCCACTGACCTGGATAAGAAGAAGGAAACTGATCAAACTGAGAAAAAAAAGGAAAGTGGCAAACCAGCACTCGACAACGACGACTTACCAAGAAAAGAATCGCTTGAAGAAAGTGTAAAAACTGAAGAAGACACACCGTCTGACGTTGGTAAAGAAGGTGAGCGGAGCAGAGAAGATGTCATCTCTGAGGCTCAAGAGCAAGAGGAAACGTCGTAGGGTGAAAAGTGAAAATCGAAGAAGTTGCTGAATATGGGACCAACAACTGTGACGGGCAGAAGAGTCCACAGTGATGTATACCAGGGTGGGGAGGGGATGATCCATGGCACTTCATACAGGGACCACCACATTACTGCAGCACATGACGAAGTGGAATGGACCAAAGAACTGAGATCCCCTTGGTGTGATGTAATTAACAAACCCAGCAGTGTCTTTGTCCTTTTTTTAGCTTTCGTTGGAGATTTTGTATTGCACGTATGATTATGTACCATAAGAAAAATACACCATGTTTACAAAAGATGGATAAGAGTTATGACTATTAAATGGATTATTCAATTGATGGAGTCGTTCCTTCAGTCTTTTATGTGTGACCAAATTATTCAAGTGATGTTTTTCTTTTATTTGTTTAGTACGTTTAAGTGAATATGCACTTTCAGATTTTCCATGTAGATGTGTCTAATGATTTCCCTCAGTTTCTGTGCAAATGGTTTTATTTTTACAAAGATTTTTTTATATTTTTCTCTGTTGAGAATCAAGTCATCATTGAATGGTTTAAAATGAAAGTTAGAGATTGTAAGATTGTCTTAAAAACTCAAAATAAAAATATTTTATTGGTTGAAAGTGTAAAAGCGTACGTAGTAGTCGTGATTCTATTCAACTTATTTGTAAAGAATTATGTTAATGCATCCACAGAGACAAAAAAACAAACAACTTAGGTTTGAAAATAATAAGTTTCCAACGGAAATAAATAAATGTGCTTATATATATTTCAAATAAGGTAATGATATTTTATTGTTTGCATTGTTTGTCAAAAATTTACATTACATATTACTTTTCACATCACACACGAACAAAATAATAAAGAAAAAATAAAATGTTTTTATCGGAAACCAAGTAATTGTTATATCTTTAGTGATTGAATTTGCCATCGTGCATCAAAAAGCACTGACTTAGTTATCCTCAAATTCAAATAAATCAAGGTAATTAGGATTTTCTGTTTTTCAGTAGAGTTTTGATACAAAAGAAGTTGGGATGTGACTCGTAAAGCATAGTTTTTAGGACAAAAATCTCTGGAAATCAAGTTAAGGTCTATTAATCTTCTGTTTTTTGAACTGCTAAGAAACACATGCTGATGTTTATACATCAGACATTTAGGAAATAATATATTCAATTCAGTTTATTTATATAGCGCCAAGTCACAACAGAAGTGGTCTCAGGGCACTGAACAGAAACATTCATATATAAAAACAATAAGTTAACATTATTTATCTGAGGAGCAGCTTTGAGTTTAACTCCATCGCAGAACTGTCATCTTGAGTTGAATGAACTGAACTGGAGTACCGCACTCCAACCAGCAGGTGTCGCTGTCAAAACTTTATCATCGAAACGGAACTGTTCTTACCCGGAAGTAGAAATCCAAATGAGACCACAGCGGAGGCATTAGAAAGGAGCGCCCGCTTTTTGTTTCTTTTGTTGTTTTAGGAACCAGAAGAAAAGAAAAAAACAACCAGCTATTGCCAGAAGGTTTTATACTCGTAGACAAATATGTCGTTTGTGCAACCCAGTCGCTCTAGTACCGGTTGGCCGCGCCGTAATTCAGATCAGTTCGCATCGAAATACATCAGCGGCACGGCCTCTAATAAACCGCTCACCCTGGAGAGGACCATCAACCTGTGAGTTCACACACCACCACTGTAATATTTAAACAATAAGAAACATATAGAATCTACAAGTTTCTTATCCTGTTTATAATATTACAACAATAAGGAATGTATATGTATCTATTATATTAAAACAATAAGAAACAGATGGCATCATCCAATTTATAATATTCAAACAAGAAACAGATGGCATATTTTAATTAATAAAAACAACAATAAGAAACAGATGCATCATCTAATTTATAATATTAAAACAATAATAAACATATGGTATCTAATTTATAATATTCAAACAAGAAAAGGATGGCATCTTTTAATTTATAAAAACAACAATAAGAAACAGATGCATCATCTAAGTTATAGTAAAACAATAAGAAACAGATGTTTCGTCTTTTATACAAAATACTTCTGTCTGAAACCCCGCAAGAGCATCGTTACTCATGCTCAATAATCCAGGTAGAAAAGTCCAATAAAGTTAAGTCATGTCCTCTGGACGGTGTCTTTTTGTTAAAACGTGTCGTCTTTTATTCTCTTTTGCATTCGTCTTGTATTTTCTCTCTTGTAGCTGAGTCCTCGAGGCTCAATGGGATTAACCTGTCTAAATAAAGGTTGAATGAATTATGCAAAATACGTCCGTCAGTCTGAGGAGCTACGACTAACTCAGTCTTATAAATAACACGTGTCGCAGTGGATCAACCAGTTTGTTGTTGACATCCAGAACTAGCTGTTCACGTGATGATGGAGGACCATCAGCCTAACGGTTTGTTGTTAGTGCCCTGGTGGCCGCTTGCTATTCACAGAGGGCTGAGTGAAACTAGTAATAGCATTGTAAGAGAGAGGGACAGTTGAACACGGAGGCCTCTGTTAAATGATGGACAGGTTCTCTTCACAAATACGGCTTCGTTATATTTTAGGTGTGTTTTTTAAAGCATGTTTGCACTGAATACGAAGTGGCTCTCAGTCTCATTGTACTTGTGTATAATGGCAATAAAGGCATTCTGATTCCATTACTCCTGTCTCAAACCAACGTACCTCTCTGTCAGGGATGTGAACGTCTTCATCCCTGACAGAGTGACCGCTGGTCTGCAGGTGGGTGTAGACTGCATAGCCATGGTCCGAAGATGTTGCTCTTTCTGTGCAGACACTTCAACAAGAAGAATCCGTCCAGAGGACCTCACTTAACTTTGTTGGACTTTTCTACCTGGATTATTGAGCATGAATCGGGATGCTAAAAATAATTCAGTCTGAGCCAATTTTATTTTATTTTATTGTTTTTGTTGCAGAAAAACGCAGATAAGCTAATATAAACAGTTAAATATAATGTTTGTAGTCACATTTATAGCTGAAATAGCCTTAAAGGAAAAAAAAGGTGTTTACATTTTAACTGATGTTTACACAGATGTTTACACCAAATCAAGTAGACTTGTTTATTTATTGTTGTTAAACAGGGGGGAAAAATCAGTTTTTATTTAAGTAAAGACCGACGGTTTTTGTGTACATTTTTATTATTTAGAAAATAATTTGCTAATTGGTCATCGGTTTTAGTTAAAAATGTCTTTGCGTAAATATGTAAAATATCTGACTTTTTTTTTTTTTAGATATATTTGTCATTGTTAAAGCTACTTTTAAAATTAAAATCAAACCACTAAAGTCTTTTTTTTTTTAATCTATGAAGAACACAACGCAGTATCAAATAAACATGTCTTTGTGATGAGTCTAAAAAGTTTGGGACTCTGATAACTGATTAAATTTCCTCGTTGTAAAAGTAATTTTTTATGTAAAAATAATGCGTGGACGCGGTTTTCTCTGCTCTTAAGGTGTTGTTTGATAATTTAGTCAGATCGAATTAGCTAAAAATGCGTTTTATTTCAGTGCTGGCCGTTGGAAAATGTCTTTCAAACACATTTTAACATATAAAAAAAACAAAGTGTAATTTAGTTATTGTCATTTTCAGTAGCTTTACTTTATTTCTGCTGTTCAATGCTTAATTGTGAACCCCCATCATGTTGGATTACATTTTGTTTTTTTAGATACCCTCTCACCAACTACACCTTCGGCACCAAAGAGCCTCTGTATGAGAAGGACAGCTCCGTGGCTGCCAGATTCCAGCGGATGCGCGAAGAGTTTGACAAGATGGGTATGCGCCGGACAGTGGAGGGTGTTCTCATCGTCCACGAGCACAGACTGCCCCACGTGTTACTTCTGCAGCTGGGGACCACGTTTTTCAAGCTGTGAGTAGCTGGTGTTCAGAGGTTCCTGCGTGAATGGGCAGCCGGGGCTTTAGCTGCGCAGTTGCCTGAGGTGTTTGTGTCTCTGCTGCAGGCCCGGTGGAGAGTTGAATGCCGGAGAAGATGAAGTGGAGGGGCTGAAACGCCTGATGACTGAGGTAGCTGCTTCACAGAGCAGACTGAACTTCCTGTCTCCGAGGTGAGTGTGGTGCTTTTTAACTTTTCTCTGCTTGTCAGATTCTTGGACGACAAGACGGGGTGAAGCAGGACTGGGTGATTGACGACTGCATCGGCAACTGGTGGCGCCCCAACTTTGAACCTCCGCAGGTTGGTACGCATAGTTGACTAGAACAGGAGAACGTAGTGCCATTGAATCATTTACACGTTGAACAATCTGTTGTTTCCTGTAATGTTGGAATATTGTTTTTTCATTCACTTCAGTCCTCTGTTTCAGTTTAAGTGTTAGGATCTAACCCATCAATCATTTCTCTTGTAGTACCCCTACATTCCAGCTCACATCACCAAACCAAAGGAGCATAAAAAACTGTTCCTGGTTCAGCTGCAGGAGAAAGGTCAGCAGATGTTTCTTCACTGTCAGGCTTTATTAGATTAAACGTTGGATGTATAAAATGGCAACAAATGAAGAAACGGAAACAAACGAACAGTTTCTGCTCGTTTTGACGTGCGTGTCTCGTGTTGCTACAGCACTGTTTGCCGTTCCCAAGAATTATAAGCTGGTGGCTGCACCGCTGTTTGAGCTGTATGATAATGCTCCTGGATACGGACCAATCATCTCCAGTCTACCACAGCTGTTGAGCAGGTAAAGTTCATGGTCATGTGATTGTTCATTTTGTTCATTAGAACAGTTGTTAAATACAATACAAACTTGTATTTAGATCTTTCTGGTGTGATTGCCCCAACCAATCAAAACTTACAGTATGAACCTGAAACTCCCAACCTGCGATCAGAACATCATGATTTCAGCTCTCTGCCTCCAGCTGCACTCTTGGCCACACCCACTTCTCCTCTCTGCACATGCAGAGCAGAGATCATCTGATCACGTGCAGGAGGAAGCTTCTCCCACAGTTGTGGGCTGCACACACGTGCTAAATCATTTAAAATAATTTATTTGAAATTTAAAAAATCCATTTCGGTTTGCGGTTTGCAGCTGAGTGTGAAGCGGATGGGATGAGAATCAGCACCTCTGAATCTGAGGCCATGGTCCTCAGTCGGAAAAGGGTGGATTGCTCTCTTCGGGTTGAGGGTGAGGTTCTGCCTCAAGTGGAGGAGTTCAAGTATCTTGAGGTTTTGTTCATGAGTGAGGGGAGAATGGAGCGTGAGATTGACAGCCGGATTGATGCAGTATTGCGGACTCTGTACTGGTCCGTTGTGGTGAAGTGAGAGCTGAGCTGTAAGACACAGTTCTCCGTTTACCGGTCGGTCTTAGTTCCTACCCTCAACTATGGTCACGAGCTCTGGGGACTGACAGAGAGAATGAGATCGTGGATACAGGAGGTTGAAATGAGTTTCCTCTGCAGGGTAGCTGGACTCTCCCTTAGAGACAGGGTGAGGAGTTCAGTGATCCAGGAGAGACTTGGAGTAGAACAGCTGCTCCTCTACTTTGAGAAGAGCCAGTTGAGGTGGTACGGGCATCTGGTAAGGACGCTCCCTTGGGGCATGTCTGACTGGGAGGAGACCTCAGGGAAGACCCAGGACACGCTGGACACTCTTGGTTGGTCTGGGAACACCCTGGAATCCTCCCAGAAGAGCTGGAGGAGGTGGCTGTGGAAAGACATGTCTGGGCCTCCCTGATCCAGCTGCTGCCCCTGCGACCTGACTTTGGAATAAGCGAAAGATGATGGATGGATAAAAAAAATCCACGCCTATCGTGTGGCTCATCCATCAATCAGCCGTTGCGTCATGTCAACTCTTAGTCTGAAAAACCGCGATGGAGCAAAACGACCCGCGACGTAGCGAAGGACTACTGTAGCGTCAAAATAAAACTTTAGAGGGTTAATGTGGCGTTCTTTTACACGCGTGTGACATTTTTTAGAAGGAGTTATTTTACAACCGTAACTAGTTCAGTTTGACTACTGATAGCCTAGAAGAAGTTTGTTTGGATAATTATAAATCGTTAATGATGAAAATCTCCAGACCAACCTTCAAATGCTGCTTTCTCAACGGGCTGTGTGCTTTGCAGCAGTGGTAGGAGGTTGATCGGGGGAGGAGGGTAAACAACTGAAAATATCCAAAAGTTGCTCCTTTTTTCTCTCATTTGTAGACGTGGCTGTCACCTGTTTTTTTTTTTTAATATAAATATATATATATATGTTGTCAGAATAAAGCCCCGGCGTGACACTTTCTGACGACGAGGAGGTGTAGATCCTCAGCGTGAGTCTTACCAAACGACGCAGATCTAATAATGTTCATTTTTCCAGGTTCAACTTCATCTACAACTGACCTGAGTGAAGAGAAGTGCGTCGGGCTGTCTCTGTGAGCGCAGCCGCAAGCGTCGTGATGAGGACGTCCACCTCTGAGTCACCTTTTACAAAATAAATACTTGTCAGGTCAGAGTCAGCAGGGGCGTTTATATTGTCAGGAGAAAAATATAAAGTCAAGTCTTTTTTCTTTTTTTAATGTGATAAACTGCAACATATTTTAGTATGCAGGAGGGTTGAGAATCTGATTTTACGTTTCCATAAAAAAAATGCCTGTTTAATTAAAAAAAACAACATCGTTGTGTTCTTTGTTTTAACCTGTAACCATACTGTGTTTTTCTTTTAATAAAGCAGTGTTTTGTGTTTGTTTTTATAAAACTCAAAGAGCTGGTGAGTATGAATGCTGTTAAAGAAACTTAGTTTACTTTAAAACACAGGGTACGCTTCATGAATTGCTCAAAGCGGGTGAAAAGACCGAACGTTGCCGACACCGTTTTTACACTAATGCGCGCCTCGGACACGTTTCTGTTGCAAGCAGAGCGCGCTTTAGCTGTTAAAAGGTAGAAGCATCAAAAATACATTCAGAATATAGTAAAGTAATGACAGAAGAAAATGTTTTTTGAGTACAGCCCTTTTTTTGTTACGACGCCGCTCCCACCAATCAAAAGAATTAAGTCTTATATAAATTTTCATGATGCAAATAAATAAAGTCCTTAATTGGCATATTTAGGATTATTACATCCTTTGTGCATTAATTATCTCTGATTTTATAGCTGAACAGGTCAAGGTTCTTTAATGTCATTCGCATCTCGTACATGTGGTGGAACAAAATTGTGTACGCAGGGTCCCAGATACAGTGCCTTGCCAAAGTATTCAGCCCCTTGAACTTTTCAACCTTTTGCCACATTTCAGGCTTCAAACATAAAGATATAAAATTTTAAATTTTTGTGAAGAATCAACAACAAGTGGGACACAATCGTAAAGTGGAATTAAATTTATTGAATGTGTCAAACTTTTTAACAAATAAAAAACTGAAAAGTGGGACATGCAATATTATTCGGGCCCCCTTGCGTTAATACTTTGTAGCGCCGCCTTTTGCTGCAGTTCCAGCTGCAAGTCTCTTGGGGTTTGTCTCCATCAGTTTTGAACATGGAGACACTGAAATTCTTGTCCATTCTTCCTGCAAAACAGCTGGAGCTCAGTGAGGTTGGATGGAGAGCGTTTGTGAACAGCAGTCTTCAGCTCTTTCCACAGATTCTCGATTGGATTCAGGTCTGGACTTTGACTTGGCCATTCCAACACCTGGATACGTTTATTTGTGAACCATTCCATTGTAGATTTGTCTTTATGTTTTGGATCATTGTCTTGTTGGAAGGTAAATCTCCGTCCCAGTCTCAGGTCTCTTGCAGACTCAAACAGGTTTTCTTCCAGAATGGTCCTGTATTTGGCCCCATCCATCTTCCCATCAATTCTGACCATCTTCCCTGCTGATGAAAAGCAGGCCCAAACCATGATGCTGCCACCACCATGTTTGACAGTGGGGATGGTGTGTTCAGGGTGATGAGCTGTGTTGCTTTTACGCCAAACATATAATTTTGCATTGTGGCCAAACAGTTGGATTTTGGTTTCATCTGACCAGAGCACCTTCTTCCACATGTTTGGTGTCTCCCAGGTGCTTGTGACAAACTTTAAACAACACTTTTTATGGATATCTTTGAGAAATGGCTTTCTTCTTGCCACTCTTCCATAAAGGCCAGATTTGTGCAGTGTACGACTGATTGTTGTCCTATGGACAGACTCTCCCACCTCAGCTGTAGATCTCTGCAGTTCATCCAGAGTGATCATGGGCCTCTTGGCTGCATCTCTGATCAGTCTTCTCCTTGTTCAAGATGAAAGTTTAGAGGGACGGCCGGGTCTTGGTAGATTTGCAGTGGTCTGATACTCTTTCCATTTCAATATGATTGCTTGCACAGTGCTCCTTGAGATGTTTAAAGCTTGGGAAATCTTTTTGTATCCAAATCCGGCTTTAAACTTCTCCACAACAGTATCTCGGACCTGCCTGGAGTGTTCCTTGGTCTTCATGATGCTCTCTGTGCAGAACCCTGAGACTCTCACAGAGCAGGTGCATTTATACAGAGACTTGATTACACACAGGTGGATTCTATTTATCATCATCAGTCATTTGGGACAACACTGGATCATTCATAGATCCTCACTGAACGTCTGGACTGAGTTTGCTGCTCTGAAAGTAAAGAGGCCCAATAATATTACACGCCCCACTTTTCAGTTTTTTATTTGTTAAAAAAGTTTGACACAGCCAATAAATTTCATTCCACTTCACGATTGTGTCCCACTTGTTGTTGAGTCTTCACAAAAAATTAACATTTTATATCTTAATGTTTGAAGCCTGAAATGTGGCAAAAGGTTAAAAAGTTCAAGGGGGCCGAATACTTTCGCAAGGCACTATACATCTAACGAAAGTATAAATTGTAAAAGAAAAAGTAATAAGATATAAGATAAGAACTAAAAATACACTAATAACACAAAAATATGCCAAACAGCAGCATGAGCGTGAGTCTGTGAGCAGATGTGTACGAATGAACAGCAGCATTATATAAATCAGCAGCACGCCAACAATCAAATGACATTAGTGATTTTTTTTTTTCACAGTGATTATCCTGGTTAGAGGTTAATGAGTCCAACAGCTTCAAGGTAGAAGCTGTTCCTGAGTGTAATGGTTCTACATTTAATGCTCCTCAACCTCCACCCTGAGAGGAGCGGGGCAAAAAGTGTGTGTGCTGGGTGAGTGGGGTCCTTCATGATGCAGGTGGCCCTCTTCCTGCATCTGGAGGTGTAGATGTCTGTGATGGTGGAGAGACTGACTCCAACAGTCTTCTGTGCACAAAAGTTGACAGTTTTTCACATTTGTGACTTTTTTGTTTAGTTTGTTTTCGGCTCAAAATGTAAACAACCATTGGACTCAAATATAGTGCTGATTTTGTAAATCAACCTTTGCTGTTTTCTGTATTTTATCATTATTAATTCTATTTTGAGAAAACTCCAGCCTAATTATTTGGCTGCATTCAGTTAACGGCACCACCGAGACGGTTCTTCTTGTCCCGAGCATTATTGACTTGTGTTGATCCGCACCTAAACCACATGAACTGAACAACAAAGTCCATGCTCAATAATCCAGGTATACAATCCAACATATTTCAGTCAGGTCATCTGGACACATGACTTAAATGGGCACCCAGTCCATTTTGATTTGAACTCTGAAGACTAATCTTAAACACAGAAGCAAGATTGTTGTTATCTCAGTGTCCAACAGATGTTAAAGTTTTGGATGATATCACCACTACTAAAAATAGATTAAAGCTTATTTTATATGATATATTAAAAACCATTTATTGAATGCCTCAATTATTTCCTAAGTATTTTTTTTTCCGTTTTGGAAACGTTTAGATGATTAATTAAAAAATATATATTTTGAGATGTATTATCTGAATTTTTATTTTTGCTTGTTTTAAACGGTAATTCCCAAAGTGATGGGTCAGGACCTACTTTGGGTAAAAAAAACACCAAGATGGGTTTCTTGAGATGATCTCAGACATATTTAAAAAAATTGCTTTTGTGATTTATTTACGGTTAGTTGTATGATAAAAAGTATCTTGGTTGCTGAAGAGACTTGTGTTCAGTACGTTTAACTTTTTTCTAATAGTATCTTAAAATAAAATAGAAAGGCGCTGTATAAGTACAGACCATTTACCAAGTCTAAAATACGGTTAATTATAAAACAAAGATTATAAGCTTGTAGTTACAGCTCAAAGGAAGTACAGTACGTTTTATTTGAGTCCTCCACGCCTGACAGTCAAAGCTCCGGGCTGTACACAGATAATTCTACGTCATTTTTCTGCGACATAGCAGACGTTGGTCGCGTCGCACGCGGCAGCCTGTTAGGTCTTTTCAAAGTTGGTTTTCTCTCGAGACAGTTTCTGATATGACATCCAAACGAGCGCAGGGAGATTGCAGAACCACCGGCAAGAGGAAGAGGCCGAAGAGCTGCGTGGAAACACCGGAGTTGGGTGTGGACGTGGGGGACGAGCAGCTGAAGAGAGCCGTGAAGGAGGCATGGAGCCGCGGGACTCACTACAGCCAGGGTCCGTACAGGAAAACTTTGCTCACCGGTGACTTTAATTTAACCATGGAGCTCTTATTGGTCTGTGCGTACATCGCAGGGTTGTTTAACTAATTTATCAAATTTAATTTAAAAACGTTTACTCTTAACATTAGATCGCCTCAGATGCAGGAGACAATCTGACATTTAACATTTTTCAGTCGGGTCATCTGGACAGTTTCTTTTTTTTTTGTGCTGAAACGTTTCGCCTTAGATCCAGAAGGCTTCATCAGTCAAGGAAACACACAACAAAACTGATTCTTCCCCCAACAGCTTACTCCAAAGTGGACAAACCAGTTATGTTGGTGCTAAGATGGTGTCTTTGGTACGCCCCTCCTCCATTGCCGGCCCTCTTCCTTGTTGACAGTCTTGTCAAACTGGTTGAAAACAACAAAGTCCATGCTCAATAATCCAGGTATACAATCCAACATTTTTCAGTCAGGTCTGTCTCGTTGAAGTTGAGTTGACAGGACTGTCAACAAGGAAGAGGGCCGGCAATGGAGGAGGGGGCGTGCCAAAGACACCATCTTAGCACCAACAAAACTGGTTTGTTCCACTTTGGAGTAAGCTGTTGGGGGAAGAATCAGTTTTGTTGTGTGTTTCCTTGACTGACGAAGTCTTCCGGATCGAAGGCGAAACGTTTCAGCAGAAAAAAAAAGAAACTGTCCAGATGACCTGACTGAAAAATGTTGGATTGTTTACCTGGATTATTGAGCATGGACTTTTTTGTTAATCTGACATTTACCAAAGTTCATGCATTCAATGTCCAGCAATGTTCAGTCAGGTCATCGGGTTATTTTGTTAATAATACTTTATAAAGCTGTTTCTGAGACATTTCGACCTTCATCCGAAGGACTTCTTCAATCTTAGGAGTCTCCAAAACAAACTGAATTCCACAAACGGGACACTCCAATAGTGGGGGGGAGAACAAAACTGTTGGTGATAAGATGGCCTCTGGGGCCCGCCCTCCCCCCCGTCAACTCCTCTAAGGCAGCCATGCCAAAGTGGTTCAAAACACCAAAGTTCATGCTCATTAATCCAGGTATAAATCAGTGGTGTAATCTACGTGATACGCGGGCATACGGAGTATACCCACTAGAAAAGTTAAAAAATTTAAAAGTGCCCAATCATACATGACATATTGTGCACGTGTCATTGATACGTCAAACGCTTCCGTAACAATGTGTCTGTATGCAGCGCTTGTTTATTGCATTTGCTTATCCAGCGAATTATTGTATAATTAATACTTCTGTACTCACTATTTAATACTTGGGACATGTTTTGCTTTGATACTGTTTTATAAATTCTGTAACATGTTTTTAATACAAAGCCAACTGATGTACAAAGTTTGTTGTGCATTTATTCAAATATAAGCATCAGAGAAATTTATAAATGTTCAGTATACTTAAAAATCTAAATAAATTGACGATTACATTGTGCAGTGTACTTTGGTTTCTAAGCACAGTACACCCACTACAGAAAGGTAGACTGCACCACTGGTATAAAATCCAACAATGTTCAGTCAGATCTTCTGGCCCATCTTGTTTTTTCCACTCTGGGAGTTCCTGTTTGTGGGATTCAGTTTGGTTTGGTGGCTCCTCGGACTGAAGAAGTCCTTCAGATGAAGGACTCCATCCTGACTGAAGTTTTTCTTCTGCTCTGTTGCACTAAACTGTCATTTGAAGCTGCAGTTGCTGGATCCCATTTTTTCAAACCCTGGTTCCTGTTTTATGGAAACAGTTTTGACCTGTTCTTGCGTGTTGTGTGTGTAAATGTTCAGGGGTTTTAGAGCTCAACTGCTATCCTTTCCCTCACTGCACCATCAAGAACTTCATCAGGAGTGAAACCTTTGTTGAAAATCTGCAGGGAGAGTTGCTGAAGCTCAACTTCAACGAGAAGTCAAACGACCTGTACAAATTCAAACAGGTGAACGTCAGACCAAGTCAGCAGTGGGTTTTGTTCCCCAGTTACTCTATTTTTAATAACTTTTTGTTTTTTCTTCTGCAGTCTGATGATCTGAGGAGGAGAAAAGAGCCACATATCGCAGGACTCAGGTGATAATGCACATTTATAGGTTATTATTGTTTTAATCAAGAGCCACTGAGGCAGCAGTGAACAGGCAATTAATCTCTTCTGTTCCTCCAGCTTATCTCTGCTTTCAGACACACAAACCTACGGTTACTGTCAATGTTTTCTAACTCCCAGGGGAAACTTTGGGCCTTTAAAACCTGGATATAAAAGCAGGAACATTAGTGCTGAACCGTCTCTCAAGGCTCCTGTTGCACAGAGAATTAACAAAACCTAACAGGTTTTGGTTAATCTGTCGTCGTGCCTGCGACACAGAGCGTTTTATAAAAAGTGTACGATTCAAACAGCCCTGCTGCTCGTTTGTGACGGTTTTACGTTTGTGCACTTTGAAGAATATTGGAAGCACATTTTGAATCCCACTTGTTGGCTGTGACTGAGGTGTTGAAACTTAAAATATAAAATAAAAAAAACTGAGGCAGAACAGAATTGATAATAGAATAAAAACAGCCTTTATTGTCCCACAGAGGGGAAGTTCAAGTGCAACAGCAACAACAGATATAAAGGTTTACACAAAAAGTTCTCAAAATGTAAAAAAAAATATATATATATATATAAATATAAAGAAATAAGTTAAACAACAATAATAATATACAAGACAGTAGAAAATACTGTGCAGTTTTTAAAAATAGACTTGTCTAACTCGTGATTCAAGTGATGTGCAACTGATTCGAATACGTTTCCAAAATGTACACAATGTTCAATATGTATTGAACATTAGCTTTGTTTACATGGATATAAGTAATCAGATTAAACGGCCATTCAGAATAAAAATGCGTCATGTAAACGCCCTATTCGGATTATTCTTTGTTGATTCAGCTCGATCCGAATGAGACGGGTGGTTTATGCCGTTCATAATCTGAATGGTGTGCATGTAAACATTTAATCTGATCATTTTATTCCGATTGTGGAAAACTGACCTGACTGCGCATGTGCGACCTGTCAAGCTCACGTATTTCCGCCTGGCTAATGCTAATGATATTAGCATGTCGGGGAAGCAAAACATTTCTACTAGAAACTTTGAAAGAGCTCAGGATGCTCTGTATCACCTGCAGCTCAGTCAGGGAGCGCAGTGACGTCTCCACCGTCATTAAAACCTGTCGTGGGTCCATTTTGGGCGCTCAGGTTTGTTTACGTTCATCCCAGAAGTAAAACTTCTGTGTTTTGTTTTGTTTTTTTTAAAGGAAAGTTTACCACTCTGTGCATGTCAGTACTTCTGTTCAGAATAAAAGCCCGCTGCATGTAAACGCTCGTCATGATCGGATTGTGCCCATGTAAACGATACATTTGGATTATTTAATCTGAATGCACTTCAATCCGATTAAAGAATTGTGCACATGTAAACATAGCTACTGAGAAGGACAGACTATTTACAGTACATTATTATAGGCAGAGTGTTTGTTTTAGCATGTATTTAATCCTTATTGAGTTTGTTGGGAGCAGTGATAGTCGAACAGCTGCTGGGAGGAAGGACCTGCGGTAACGCTCCTTTGTGCATTTAGGAGCAGGAATCTGTCACTGAAGGAGCTGACCAGTTCAGCAACAGCTTCATGCGTGGGGCGGGAGACGTTGTCCAGCAATGATGTTATTTTAGCTGGAGTCCTTCTGTCTCCCACCACCTGCACTGGGTCCAGCACAGAGCTGGTTTCTTGATGAGCTTATCTAACCACTTTTAATCATCTCCATCAGGGGGAGCCAAAGATTACAGCTTCCTAACTGGATCCGTTGAATTAACATTTGATATGACTGCAGTTAGTTTGATTTAAGAATGAAAACAAAAATCAACTTCTCGCTCCCAGACGTAGAAGCAGACAGATGTTTGTTCTTCCAGTGTTTTTAGTTGTTAACACGTCAGTGGGCTGTTCGGCACGATTTGTATCAGATGCTGAGAGGTTGATTTTATTTTTTTTTTAGCTGAATCCTGTCAAATAAAATAACTGTATAAATTAATTGTATGTTGAGAGAAAATTCTATTTAGCGCCTGTGAAAGCTCTCCTGTTACCTTGAAAGTGAATTAACGTGCATGCTCTCCATTCATAATTGTTTTTTTTTTAGTACAAACTGTGTTTACAGCAGGCAGACTTATTCACATACTTGTGGTGTTAGTGACTGTATTTGTGGTTTAAGAAAATTTGAAATGAAACGTGTACTTTTAAAATACTTAACATAAATACTGCAGTTTTTATTTTAGAGGCTGTACTGTAGAAAAGCTGTGGTTGCAGATGATAATTATTTTAGAAAAAGTCATCACAAAGTGCAAAAATCAGACCTACATGTACTCAAAAAATAAATAAATGGTTAATGAGCTCTGTAACCCGTACGCACAAACAAACAAAACTGTGTTGGACAAAGTGAATGAGGAAAAATCAGAGTTAATCTGGTGTCAAATTTAAATGTTCAACGTTTTCGTATCGTCTCTGCCATCAGACGTCTTCGGTGTTGTAAACTCGTTGGTTTCAACTCGAGGTGGGTTCGGCTGTTTGTTGATGAAACGACGGCTGATAAATGTGGCTGTAAAAGCCGCCACACCTACAGATGAACTGCAGCTTTGGGGATTAAATATCATTAAATACACAATGACAGCCCCCTCCTCATTTGTGATAATTTATTATTCATGTTGCTGAAAATGTCACGGCGGGCTTTTGGGCAGTCTTGTGTTTGTGGAGGAGGTTGGTTGAAGCGTCAGCATTTTGTGACGGTGCAGAGAGGATCTTCACGCAGACGTGTTTGTTTCTGTAGGGCGGCTCTGTTTGAGCGTTTCCGCTCCTGGCTCGAGGAAGTGTTGGGGGTCGAGCTGGAGCCCACAGTGGATATTTCTTGTGCCAAATATGAACAAACGGGTGAGAACAGTCTGAGCTAGAAATTTTTTGCCATTTAGACATTTCTTCTTGTGACTCATCATTTCGTGCTTCCAGATGTCCTTTTGTGTCACGACGATGAACTGGAGGGGAGACGTGTTGCTTTCATTTTGTATCTTGTGCCTCCGTGGCGGAGCAGCGACGGGGGAACCCTCGATCTTTACGCGACGGACGGTAAGCGTCTCGTTCTGTGTGTGTGTGGAAGCGTTTGCTCTTTAATACAACGTGTTGTCCATCAACAGGTAGTTTCCAGCCACAGACTGTAGTGAAATCTCTTGTACCTTCTTGGAACACGCTCGTCCTCTTCGAAGTTTCTCCAGTTTCGTTTCATCAAGTGAGCATTTGGGTCTTTGTTTCCCTGTTGCACAAAAAAATATCTTAATTGGAAATCTAGTCAAGTCAACTTTATTTATAGAGCACATTGTGAAAGTGCTGAACAATAACATGAATGGGAGTAAAATTAATGAAAAATGCCACACACTAATGATAATGCTGAGGAATTAACTAAAAGCATTAAAAACGTAGGAACACAGAGCAAAACATACTAAACTCACACTGTGTTTAAATGCCAGAGACGACAGGTGTGTTGTTAGAGATTTGAACGCAGGAAGAGAGGTGGCCTGCCTGATGTTGGGGGGTGCAGGTTGTTCCAGAGTTTGGAGCCCATGACTGAAAATCAGAATCTCCGCTGAGCTTCAGTCTTGTTTTTGGAACGGCAAAAAGCAGCTGATCAGATGTTACGTTCCCTCTCAGGGCCCGAGAGGGAACGTATGGTTCCAGAAGCTCAGAGAGATAAAGGGGTGCGAGGCCATTTAGGCACTTAAAGGTCAACAGAAGAATTTTAAAGTCTATTCTAGCACGCACAGGGAGCCAGTGAAGGGAGGACAGAACGGGTGTAATATGCTCAGACCTACGAGTTCCGGTTAAGAGCCGAGCTGCAGCATTCTGGACGAGCTGGAGACGTGAGATGGAGGTCTGGCTGACCCCGGAGTGCATTACAGTAGTCCAATCGGGTCGTGATAAAGGCACGGACTAGTTTCTGAAGGTTGGGTCTGGACAACACTGGCTGTGTTAGATTGTGATTTTTTTTCCATCTTTTAGGTTTCTGAAGTTTTATCGCAGGACAAGTGTCGTCTGTCTCTGAGCGGCTGGTTTCACGGACAGTCTTTGGAACGACCTCCTCGTCACGTAGAACCGTCCGTCCCGAGGAGTCCACACATACCCAGAGATGTGAGTGTTTTTGTTTCAGGAAAATGCAATGGAGCTTCTTCTTGGTGATAATTTGGTGATGCTGCAGACAGTTTGCTTAGCTTAGCATACAGACTGGGCCTCTTCTTTCTGATGTCGCTAGTAACGACTCGATGGCCATTATTTCCTCTTTCGGCCTGATTGCATTCCTCATGTTCATGACAGGAGACAATTTTGCTTGAGTGGATCAACCCCTCGTACTTGGACATGTCCTATCAGGAGCAGATCCAGGAGGAGTTTGAAGAAAGCTCTGAAATTCAGCTCAAGGATTTTCTCAAGGTCACTTCTAATCCGTTCTTCTCAGCACTTCCTGTGCTCGCCTGATCTTGACGATTGTTTGTGTGTTTGTCTTCAGGAGGAGAAGTTCAGGGAGGTGAGTGAAGCTCTGCGACTGGCCCAGATCCAGTGGACGAAGAGAGGTCCATCCAATAAGAGGTGGGCGATCTTCAAAAGATCATTTGGTTCGTTGCCCTGATGTCGTGATGTTTGAGGATTTCTGCTTCCAGATGTTATGAGGCGGCCTCTCTGGATTCTCTGCCCGAGTGTGTGAGTTCCTGTTGGGAGCTGCTTCACTCTGAGGCGTTTTTCCTTCTCCTCTCCAACTTCACCGGCCTTCGACTGCACTACCTGTGTCCTGCTGATGATGAGGAGAAAGGAAAGGAGGACGAAGAAGAAAAAGTGGCAGGCTCTTCAACCAAAGCCTCAGCATCATCATCAACAGCAGCAGCAAATGCAAGCAGAGATAAAGGTAAGAGTGAGCTACAAAAAGGGTTAAATCATGTCATCTGGACCGGTTTCTTTAATCGAGAAACATTTCGTCCCCCATCCAGAGGACTTTGTCAGTCTACGGCCTGCCAACCAGATTGGTCCCACCTTCATTGCTGTGTTTCAAGCCAACCTCCTGTTGGAATCTCAGAAGCAGCTTTTTAACATGTGCAAACAGAGCCTAAAGGTGGCCTAAATGAAGCAATGAAGGCTACCTATGGGGCAGATCTGGTTGGCAGGCCGCACGCTGACGAAGTCCTCTGGATGGGGGACAAAACGTTTCTTCACGTATAGAAATTGGTCCAGCTGAAATGATTTAACCATTTTTTTATTATCTACCTGGATGATCGAGCTTACAGTTTTTATTTTAATCTTTTCAGAGCTGAGCACACCGGTGTGTTGTGGGGAAGTGCGTCGCTGGACGCATGGCAGCTACACTCTGCTGCATGACGGTGAAGCAGCGCAGGCAGAATATGCCCTGGACCTGATTTTACCTTTTGGCTGCTCAGGTGAACAGAAATAAAGTGAGTAAAAAAAAAAAACTCTGAATGTAACACTTACAGAAATTGTCCTTTTTATAGGCTGGAGGTCGGAGTTTGGAGGCTTCACGTGTTATGTTGCTAATGAAGAGGATGAAGAGGTGAGTGTTGATGGTTCCAGTCAACGGTACACTGCGTAACGTTGCTCACGTAGAAACTCGTTAGTAGAGTTAATCATCACTTTGTTTTCACAGCTTCTGACCGTGCATCCAGAAGACAACTCTCTCGCCCTCGTCTACAGAGACAAAGAAACGCTGAAATTTGTGAAACACGTCAATCACAAAAGTTCCTCTGTGGGCAGTTCTACAAGCAAAGGGTTTTATGATTTTTCTTTTGTCTACTATGAATAAATTCACGTCATTAATTATATATTTTGTGTGTGTTAAGGTATTTACAAAGACGAACGGACGGCACATCTTGTTAAAACTTCTCTCAATTACAGCCGAGGTTCATCATTTTTACTAAAGGACTTTTTTGAAGTCTGGTCGGATGAATAAACAATTTAAGTCAGTATTAATAAATTATCTGTTTGCTACATGATGTTAGCCACAACAAAATGTACTTTTCATCTAGTATTTCTATAGAAGCTGGACAGCCAAGCACTTTAGTTTTATTCCTGCTGCTGATTTAATTTTTAGTTAGAAAATTCACCTTTTCTCAAGTCCACATTTACTTAAAGCAAATTCTAATAAGTTTTGATTAAATAAAAATGTTTCTACAGTTGCCAACCTTTGTGTTATGAAGGGATCACCGAAGTGGCACAAACTTAAAAAAAGGGCCAAAATGTCTGTTGAACTATGAGCCACCAAGATGGCAGTGCAAGAAAAAGATTACTCAAATTAGGTTTAATCAGAATAAAAATACCAACAAAGATAAAAAAAAAAAAATAATACAATTATATACATTAACGAGTAAAGGGTGGTAGAAAATTAAAGTCTCAAAATGATCAAACAGTTGTTGGAGTTGTGCTTGAAATCAGTGTCAAACACATTTTAATTTAAGACCTATATTTTGTTATTTTTTATATCTTGTGATTCCTTGTGTATGTTCCTTTGTACTGAAACTTGGCGCAACAATTTCCTGCGGATAAGTAAAGTTATATTTTATTGTCACTCAAAATCACCCCAAAATGAGATTTACAAAAAAAAATAATAATTCAGGGTCAAATGCTACGTTTCTGCTTTTTATCTAATTAATTGTAGTAAAAAGTGTTACTTTGGCTAGACACTAATAGATAACATGATTTTTAAAAACATCCCTTTGGCTTTTTATAGCAGTTAGGAGAGGGAGCAAGCAGGATGTGACGTTTACACTTCCTCTCTGAAGTATCGTCTTAACCTAAATACATAGAGCCTTTTAATTATTAATAAAGGAGTTACTTGTCAAATATAATTTAAAGGAATCGACTATAGTTGGAACCCACATCAAAAAGGGGAAATTTCAAAAAACAAAAATGTACTTCCTGTTCGTCATTTCCCCCAAACCCCTCACGTCGGTTTCCACCAATCAGAGCCGGGTTTGATTTTTTGCTCAGCCAATGGGAGCCCAGGAAGGCATTTCTATGTCAGTGGGTGTGATTTGTCAGGCGGAAGCCTCACCGAACAAATTTTAAAGAAAGTTTTTAAGGTAAGTTTCTTTCAACTGTAAAGTTCTGCCTGACAGTGAACCAGAAGAGCGGTTCTTTAATAGCCACGTCCGTCTGCTTTTCCGTTTTTGAGCTGTGCTGTAAAACTTTTTGACGGCGAGCGAAGTTTTGCGGCAGTTGCAACGACCGTACGTGACGTTTCCGAGCACGAGCCGTGCAACTCTCCCCCTGACGACGTTAAAACGAAGTTCACAAAAATGTCAAGTACGCGGCTTCTTTCTTGATTCCGACCAATACACGGAACTATATTTAATTATTGGTTAAAACGTTACCCCTAGCGGCAGGTTATGACATAACCTGTGCTGTAACCCAAGTCACCTGTAGCTTTACGTGTGGGTTGCGTAGCAACCGTGACTTTACGGCATAAATTCACACATCGTAAATTTACCGGCTCAGAAGTTCAACATCTTGACTTTACGCGCACTGTCCCTATTTTCCTGAGGCATTACAACAAGAGTCAAGATGTAGCACTTTTATAAATCACCTTAGTGGAGCCATGTTCTTAATTACAGCAACAAAAAAATTAAATAACCTTTAGCTTGCACATTATAAAAAGACAATAATCCTGATTAACTAGGCCATTGAGAAAACTGGTTTTGTGCAGTGATGAAAACTAATGCAATTTCTTCAGAGTCAGCAGCTCCACAGATTAGGGACCACCACTGTGACTTTCTTGTTTTTGAGTCTGGTTCTGGGGACAAACAAAATTATATTGATTTTCAGTCAAACCTCCAACTGGAGAATGAGCATTTAAAATTTCAGACATGCAAGTGGTGCCACAACACAACAGGACTCTTAAAAAACACAGCGGTGAACTTTCAAACTGGACTCTGAGTGAAACGGATGGGAAGCCAGCGTACGGTTGTGACGGATGCTGTAATTTTGAACCACTTGCAGGTGTTGAACTGGCAACAGGTCGGCACTAACAAGTTCCAGTAAATTAAGAGCTTTAGATTTTCTTAGCAAAATACAATTTCTCCTGTGTTTTAAGACTCATCGTTTACATTTACCAAATAATTTGTATGTGCTAATCAGTTGGTTAATCTGTAACAACGGAGTACGTATTTCCTTATTATTGCTATGTTTTTGAAACGTATATTACAAACATAAACTTTAATCAGCATGCCGTTGGAAATCCTCAGACCAGTGCAGAAATAGATTTTCATCCAGATGCCCGGCAGCCCTTTGAGGAATACAAGAACTGAACAAGAATTTCCAATTATCTGGTAATCCAGGCAACCTTTTTTAAAATGGTGTTACTAAAATCAAAATTAAGTTTTTGTACATTTTAATTTAAATTAATGAGGTATTTACACTTGATAAACCAATCGTCAGCGCCTTATCGCAAACAACAAATTAGGTAAAAACAACCTCAAAGCATGAAAGACATTGGTAATCAACACAGTGGTATTCCAGTGACGTTTTATCCCAATATGAAACGCATTTTCTTGGTTTGGAGTCTCGACATTTCTGCTGTGAGAAACACGAGACGTATTGATTCGAGTTTAGAAATCCAGTGAATCTACAGCCATGCCGCTCTCCAGATCTCAACTGGAAACACTTCAGATTACAGATTTGTGTGTTCATGTCTGAAATTAAGATATATTTATTTTCAGGTATGCTAGACTTGATATGAAACAGGGCAGATGCTGTAACTGTTTCATCCTCACATTGGTTTAATCAGTAATTAACCACTTGTACAAATTTTAATATGATTTGCAGGGCAGAACATTAGAAATCAACTCCTGGTTGTGAAGTATTTTTTAAAAAAGCTTTAAGAAATCTGACATTTGTACATGCAATTTTTTTTTCCTGTTCCTTTTTACTGTAATTGTTCTCTTTGTTTACACCAGCTGTAAATTTCCTTCTTCAGGAAAAAGTCCTTGAGGCCTTTTTTACCCATAAATCTTAATATAAACTATAACTTTGTTGTAAAAAAAGCTTACAATTTTTAATCTATTATTACAAACCTCAGGGAAACAGGTGCATCACTGTACTTTACAACATTACTACTATAAACAAGAAAATTTTTTATTATATAGAAGTAGGCTTGTCATGATAAACAATAAACCAATTAATCGCATGATAAATGAAAATTATCGACCTCATTTTAATTGATAGGTTTTATCGTTTCATCATGTCTTTCTCTCTCTACTATTAAGCTACAAGCTAAGCTAACAGGCCAACCTCGGAAAAAAACCTCCGTCTTGTTGAAGCTCCAGAATTCACGGTTAAAACCCGTGCCTTTGTGTAAAAAAAGTTTTTCTCTGCAAAAAGAAGCCGAGAACTTGTTTACTGTTTTTTTTTATTTTTTATTAAACGCTCTGTGTGAAAAATGCTATGCTAAAGAGCTCAAACGACACCGAGCGTCTGCCATTTTGAGAACTGAAGAGGGACAGCTCACGTCACGTCAAGGGGCCTCCCTCCCATTTTTCTTAAAGCAACACGCTGCTGGCTCCCTCACTATCCATCCTTCGGTTCAAACGGTCTTATACTGCCATCCGGTGGTCGAAAAAGGTACTACACGCAAAACAAATAAGCATTTCTTCTTAAATTTGACAATAATGACTAATTATTGTCAAATTTCAAACAATATTATCGTTTATCGCAATAATTTCTGAGACAATTAATCGCCCAGCAAAATTTGTTTTTGTGACAGGCCTATATAGCAGTACATAAAGTTTGATTATGTCTTTATTTTCGGGTTGCACATACATAAAACTGTTCATTGCATAATCATTAACCTCTTAAAGTAGCAGTACTGACATGAAACTATAGGAATACACAGGTGTCAGTAACGATCTAATCAAGGTTCTGTTCTATTTAGGAGCAGGGACAATTATAACGCCTGTATTTTTCTGCTGTTTCATGACAGTCTGCTGTGATTTACCTTAAAGGACTGGTGTGTGTGTGTGTGTGTGGAGCAGTCGTTGCCACCCTGCGTTCCCTACGGAGCAGGTACTGCCTGAGGAAACTTAGTTAGTGCACCCTCTGCAGCACCTGTCTGGTAGAAGCGCACGTCCAAACTCTTCCCCGAAACAAATACAACAACCACGATGACGAAGAGCACACGGGCAGCCGTCCAAACGGTCTCCGGGGGCTCGGTTCACTTCTGCATATAAAGACAAGAGAGCTTGATTAAACAATGCCCTGCTGATGCACTAATTAACCTCACCTGGCTCTATTCCCTGAGCCAATCTGCTTCACTTCTTCCCCTGCAGCTGAGCAAAAACCACACCTCACTGCCACAACGCTGTGTTTGGTTTGAGCCAACGATGGATCCTCACAGTGAAAATCAACAGCTCTTAGGAAGAAGGTTGACATTAAAGTTCTGCTAATGAAACTGTTAGTATCGTATTTGGTATTTTATGTTATAAATATCTGTTTACTTTGAGTATGCTATACCTTGTATTATATTATAATTGTTCAATGTAATTCATATTTGTTGGTCTCTAAAAGTAGATTAAAGCAGATTTATTAGATAATAACTAGAGCTTTATTTCTCTAAGAGGTACACACGACATGTTCATTCAACCTTTATTTCTACAGGTTAGTCTCATTGAGCCTCGAGGACTCTTTTACAAGAGAGACCTGTTTTAAACAAAGCATATAAATAAAAAAAAATAATAAATGGAAGATAATATTTAAAAAACTAAACAAAAACAGCTCCATTGGATGTAAAATACTACAAACAGGAACATGTCTGCGTTGGTTTGTACATGTTCTATTGAAAACAACTTTTTTTTTCAAGTTCACACAGTTTTGCATAGAGGGAACTTTCTTGGAAAAAAAAAATACCTTTGGGGGTGATACAAATATTAATATTCCATCCATCAATCCATTATCTTGACCCACTTTTTTCCTTTTTGGGTTGCGGGAGTCACTGGTGCCCATGTCCAGCCACCACTGTGTGAGAGGTGGGGGACACCTGGACAGGTCTCCAGTCCATCACAGGGCACAAATCATATTGAATTTTAATTATTTTATGTTGAGATGATGATGTAGATGGTGGTAAACCTACATTTTCCTCACGTCCTCCTCTCGTCACGATCATCTACAGCAGGTGTCGGCATCAAGGCCAGTGAGCGTCTGCTGGACTGACCCAAAACATTTACAAGCACAACAAGAATACTGTACTTGAAATATATTGGTCCACGAGGGGAAAAAACATGATTTATCGCAGTCTAGGCAGCCATTATGTTATTGATATTGTGCTCTCTGATGATAAATTTATGATATATTGTGCAGTCCTGCACAAGATATTGAAAAATGATTGTTAAATGTACATAACTGTCCCAAATGATTGCTTGAGCCACCGTTTTATTCAGAGACGGGATAGGTTTATTGCACATGACATCGCCATCTAATATTAAACAATATTATCACGACTGCACGTTCCTGTGCAACACTAATGATTCTAATTGATGATCCTAATTTTAATATACATTTTCTTTATTTTTTATATATTCCAGACGTTTTATGTGTGGGAACTAAGAATACTAACATTTTCCAAGACAAATGTGTCCATTCCTGCAAAGGACAAGAGTTCAGCAGCCCATAGTTGTTCTGATTCTCCTCCTCTGAATGATGTATAGATTTCCAATAGGAGACGGATCGTTTTACAGATTTGTTGAAATGTCATCAAGACGGAAATCTAAGCAAATGTCATGAGTTTTGTTTAGATTTATGCATCTTGTTGGCATTTTAACATTTTTGCATTTAAACGTTTATGAGCTAGATTTAGTTGTTTTCTTTTACAGGTCGTTTAGCTTTCCGCTCTGTGCCCGCCAAGTTTCTGTTTACTAATTATCCAAGCTTCCTGCGGTCGCTCATTTCTTCATAGATCTTATCTAAGAATGATGCAGAGAAACTGGTTCACGCATTTGTCACGTCTAGACTGGACTATTGCAGTGGTTTGTTATCTGGGCGTCCAAATACGTCTTTAAAAAGTCTCAAGTTGATCCAAAAATGCTGCTGCCAG